GAGAGAGAGAGAGAGAGAGAGAGAGAGAGAGAGAGAGAGAGAGAGAGATGGAGGCTAGAGAGTTCACGTGTTGACATGGAACCCCCATTTGTGTTGGCTGTGCGTTTTTGTAACAGCTGCCCGGATTTCGAAAAGATTATGAGATGGTTTCATCTTGGTTGGCAGTGTTCTGACATGCTGAGAGAGGGTTGGGTGTGAGAACTTGTTATCGTCTGTCGTTGTTTCCACGGGGTAGGCTTTAGTGCTCAACTATCACTCCCTCTTCTCTGCCCGAGCCATTGTGTAATCGCGATAGATGACGTCCGTAATGGCAGCAGAGGGCACATTGGAGGAAATGAAGGGGGAAGCAAGTTCTGACCTGGAGATCAAGTTCCCATTTCTGCTCTCCGACGCTTCTTCAAAGCGAATGATATCCAATTCGGCGACTGTTGACTGCCTGCCACGTGTCAGTAGCAGCCACGGCAGTAACAGCATGAGAGGTATTTCTGCCGTCCTTCTTGCGATCCCCTTGGGCATCGTTCTCCTTATCTCCCTGGAGACCGTGTTTCTCAAACCCCAGCATAAGATGCTCTTTTCTGTGCTTGGGGGATTAGGACCTGATTCTGTAGCCCCCTCATTGGACTGGCCATTGGCAAGCCTCGCAGGCGTGGATGGGCCGAAGCAGCGGCAGACCAAACCAGAAGTTGTAATCGTGGAGGCTCATGCGGAGAGACCCCGTGTGTTGATTATCACTGCTATTCAGAAGCAGTGCACGTCGGTTATGGGCGAGTACGTAGTTCTACTTGGCCTGAAGAATAAGGTTGATTATGCCAGACTGCATGGCATGGACATCGAGTATTGTAGTGTCGATGTCCCTTTTGAACCGCCCGAGGACAGGAGATGGCACAAGATTGTGATCATACAGGAAAAGATGAGGGCTTTTCCAGATTACGACTGGTACGTCTGGCTCGAGTACGACACCATATTTACGGATATGGCGTTCGAGATCCCATGGAAATCGTATGCGGGCCATAGCTTGGTGCTCTGGGGGATGCCCGGTGCGCTGTATACTTTGCAGAAGCTCGCCGCGAGCGTGATAAGCACAAACACAATTTACATACGAAACAATGAAATCTCGAAGAAGTTGCTCGAGCGTCTCGTGGAAGTATGCGAGCATGGGCACGACGACGTGGACTCCGTACTCCCACGCAAGTTGCCTAAGAATTGGACCCCGAACGATCAGTTTGCCATGCTGTACGTGTTGTCGAGAGAACAGGCGCTGTGGAGGCAGCATACGTTCCTAGAAAACAATTATCACATTTCGCGATTTTGGGCGGATGAGAATGACAGACTTGAGGAGTACTTCGTGGACTGGCGCGGGGAGGGTCAGTTCCCTCCATTCATGATGTCTTTTGTGGGCTGTGCCTTCTGTGTGGATGCGCCAAAGCGACCCGCACAGTGCGTGGACCAGTTCCACAGAGCAATTCGCTTTGCAAACAATCAACTGCTTAGCGTATTCAATATGACCCACAAAAACCTTGATACTGGAGAGGTCGTTCACCTCACTGCATCTGCCAGTTAGCGTAGAATTTGGCTCGCATGCACACACAAGACACACAAAACACACATGACACACAAGACACACAAGAGACACAAGACACGCAAGACACACAAGACACACAAAACCCTAAACCCTAAACCACAAAACACACAGGCACAAAACGCACAGGCACAAGACACAAAATACACAAAACGCACAAGACACACAAGACAACACACAAAACACACACAACACCTGAAACGCACACAACACATAAGCACACACCTCACCCGAATCATTCACTCGTTGTTTAAAAGACACAACAGCACACAACCCACACACATACACGACTAGCAGCCACCTTGTGTACAAGTGTGGCTGATCAGCTTGCGCTCCCCGTATCTGACTCCCTGCATCTACCTCATTTCAGCCTGATTGCACCCCCCGCCCCTCCCTCCCCCTTCCTCTCCGAATGACGATGATGCACCCTCTGTTCATTGTATGGAGTCCCCGGCTGGTGTGGTCTGTCTCCGGTATTCTTGCCAGAGCCAATTGGGTTAACAGAGCCAGAAGTGTCTGACAGAAGTGCCTGACAGAGACTGTCGAGACTCAAATGAACCTCCCTCTGCCGTGCAACCTGCGACGGCAAACGACCTCATCGTGCTACTGCAAAGCCACTGTGCATGCTATGCCATGTGTGCCTCCTCGCTTACAATTGCAACTCCTTCAATTTTTCTAACTTTTTTTTTTTTTTTTGCAGAATTGTCCACTGGATAGAGGCGACTGTACTGTTAGTCCAGAGGATGACAGTACCGCAATTTGACTTCAATGGTTTATTTTTGTTAGTATACGGTCAACTAAAGGCTTTCAGTTAATCTGTTGTTCATTAGGGATGGGTGGGATGCTTGGGTATCCTTTCTCTCCTTTCCGTTTGTGGCGGATGTGCCTTTTTGTTTGGCCTACTAGATCCTCACGATGATCAGACGACGGCCTTTGCGGTGGAGGCGATTCCCACTAGCTGCCGTTCAGGACCACGTGGAAAAGGGCGGTCTCTGGGGTGCTTTTTAAATCACCACTATCTCCGAGCCTCTTTTTTGCCGAGGTGAAGAAGAACTGCACGCAAGCTTTGCCAAAGTGCCGGTGCGGCGCCTTGTTTTTTCTTTTTGTTTTTTGGGCTGGCGCCCCCAGTCATCGTGGTCCGGTAGCACCGTTCATCCAAAGAACCCGGAATGTTATATTTTCTTCGATTCCCGATGCTGCCTGGGAGAGGTAGTGGTGCTTTAAGCAGTGGCACTCCCGGTGTCACGGGAGGGTCTTCTGGCGTCAGGATGGGTGTGGACGCTCTGGAGGTCTTTTATTGTGGGTGAGGTTCCCGTTGGCCGAGTTTTCGGAACCTTCTGAGGGACCGGAGTGCTATAGGCGGTGGAGCTTCTGGTGTTGCATAAGCTTTCGGACCTTTCGGTCCATGGCTGCTATATTTTTTCTGCTGGTCCCGGACGCCGACTATATTTTTTTTGCTGGTCCCGGATGCCTGCTATGTTCTTTTTGCTGGTCCCGGATGCCTGCGATATTTCTTCTGCTGGTCCCGGAGATGGCAGCACTTGCATGTTAGCGTGGTACGAGAATCATGCCTTCGTCTCAGGATCCTGTTTATTGGATGGGTTCTGAGACTGGCCNGGTCCCGGAGATGGCAGCACTTGCATGTTAGCGTGGTACGAGAATCATGCCTTCGTCTCAGGATCCTGTTTATTGGATGGGTTCTGAGACTGGCCGCATGTTTACGACGCCTGCAATATTTTGTCTGCTGGTCTCGGATGCGTGTTATATTCTTTTTGCAGGTCCCTGATGATGGCTATATTTTTTTTGCTGGTCCTGGAGATGGCAGCACTCGCATGTTAGCATGGTACGAGAATCGGGCCTTCGTCTCAGGATCTTGTTTATTGGATGGGTTCTGAGACTGGCCACATGTTTACGACGCCTGCAATATTTTTTCTGCTGGTCCCGGATGCGTGCTATATTCTTTTTCCTGGTCCCTGATGCCGGCTATATTTTTTTTGCTGGTCACTCGCATGTTAGGATGGTACGAGAATCGGGCCTTCGTCTCAGGACCCTGTTTATTGGATGGGTTCTGAGACTGGCCACATATTTACGACACCTACTATATTTTTTTCTGCTGGTTGCGGATGCCTGCTATATTCTTTTTGCTGGTCCCGGATGCCTGCTATATTTTTTTTGCCGGTCCTGGAGATGGCAGCACTTGCATGTTAGTGTGGTACGAGAATCAGGCCTTCGTNTTTTTGCTGGTCCCGGATGCCTGCTATATTTTTTTTGCCGGTCCTGGAGATGGCAGCACTTGCATGTTAGTGTGGTACGAGAATCAGGCCTTCGTCTCAGGGTCCTGTTTATTGGATGGGTTCTGAGACTGGCCGCATGTTTACGGCGCCTGCTATATTTTTTCTGCTGTTCCTGGATGCCTACTATATTTTTTTTGCTGGTCCCGGATGCCTGCTATATTTTTTTTGCCGGTCCNGATGCCTACTATATTTTTTTTGCTGGTCCCGGATGCCTGCTATATTTTTTTTGCCGGTCCCGGAGATGGCAGCACTTGCATGTTAGCGTGGTACGAGGATCGGCCCTTCGTCTCAGGATCCTGTTTATTGGATGGGTTCTGAGACTGGCCACATGTTTATGACGATGACTTTTGGGTGCAGGTTGTGTTTTTTTTTTGTCCCTGCAGCCTTTTTTTTTTTTTTTTTTTTGTCCCTACAGCCTTGTTGACAATGATGTGAAGGTGTGGCTTTCAGGCAGATGAGCGTGCAGGAACCTGGTGTGCAACTTCGAAGCTGTAGCCAGCCTTGCTCTCTTCTTAATTTCCTAGGGTTTTGGCTCAGATCTGGTGTTGCAAAACACACACGCCGATAGACGTGCACACATGCCAACGTACGCGCACGCACACCAACAGACATCTAGACACGCATTTGATTGAACCACCGGTACGTTTCCGATCTTGAAAAACAAATATGCGGCTTGTTTACGACAGCAACTTTTGGGGGTCGGGGTACGGGGGCCCGAAATGGCTGGCTGCACCACAGCCAAAAGGAGGCCCACGCCTGTTCGCTTTTTTGTTTGGGTGAGCAGGGCGTTTCCAGGGTCGGAGAAAAGTGCCTCAAGAGTACTGGTGGTTTAAACATTACGCACATGCAAAGCAATTGGTTGTAGTGGAACTATTATGATTAACGCTAATTTCCTAATAAGCTTCACCACCAGATACGGACGGGAAGCAGGTTTAATCTCTAGTTTGTAGTGGAAAATTGTTGTAGTTGACAGTCTGTCTTGAGCGCCGATTTCTATTGTCCTCGGCTGTATTGTGGCCACCTTTTCATTGCCACAATCAGCATCACAGCGTGGGACTGAGAATAGTCATCAGCCACTTACGAAAGTTGCTGTTTTTGTTGAGCCTAATGTTTTCTATATCGTGATCGTAAGGATGGATTCAATGGTGCGCCGGTTTCGTCATTGACGCAATCACCATGCCAACACGGTCTGTCTTGAGCGCTGATTTCTACTGTCCTCAGCTGTATTGTGTCCACATTTTCGTTGCCACAATCAGCATCACAGCGTGGGACTGAGAATAGTCATCAGCCACTTGCGAAAGTTGCTGTTTTTGTTGAGCCTAATGTTTTCTGTATCGTGATCGTAAGGATGGATTCAATGGTGCGACGGTTTCGTCATTGACGCAATCACCATGCCAACACGGTCTGTCTACATGGACTTGAAGACCGATTGCTGTCCATCGTCGGGGTCCTCGGGGAGGTCATAATACGGTGGTTTTTTTTTTTCAAGAGGGCGCCGATTAGTTCCAAGAGGGTGCCGAGTAGTTTCAAGAGGGCGCTGATTAGGTTCGAAGAGGGCGCCGATTAGTTCGAAGAGGGCGCCGATTAGTTCCAAAAGGGCGCTGATTAATTCCAAATTGCGCTTCTCTTGCTGAGACGACGGGTGTTGCAACTGAGGATTATTTTATGCTTCAGTGAGATACAATAAAGTGTGGATAGATGAAAGAGGGTTCTCCACCGAACTTTCTGGAGCTGCCTTCTGATTTAGGATTTCCGTTTGCTGTGTTCCGATTAGTGTTTTCCATGTTTTGAAAAAGATTTATCGTCATTACGTGAACTCGAGATTGATTTGGGGAGGAGTTGTTGGTTTGAGTGTCACTAGTGCATCAACTGTTTGGTCTCGATCTGCAGCCTGCCTGGTGGTTAGTGCTCCTCTGGCAGGTGTATGGAGATGTGACGGTCTGCGCGAGGACAGATCTGCAAAATGAAATGGTGTTGCCATCCGTTAAAAATTGGAACGATACACAGAAGGGTGAATCAGCAAATGGCCCCTGGGCAAGGATGACAGGCAAAAATTGAGAAAAAAATTGTCCATTTTTCTAGGCTACCAGCCGGGCCGCCCGGGTCCCAGGTGGCCAGCCCGTGCAAGGACAAGGGAGGGTCCCAGCAAAAAAAACAAAAAATCCAAAAATTCCAAATTTAAAATATTTTTTATTTTTTTTATTTTTTAAATATTTTTGGCCCGGCCGGGCAAGTGACCTCGGGCCACTCTGGTAGCCTAGCCATTTTTTTTATATTTTATATTTTTTTAAAAGAAATGGTGTTGCCTTGGAGTCTGGGTATGGGCCTGTGGTTGCTCGGGAGCTAGAAGAAAGTTGGGAGTTTGTGAGCAGGCCGAAAAGTGGAGAAGAGATTGCTTTGCTTCTATTCGGTTTCCGTGCAAACAGTCGCGCAAGCGGACACAGTAAAGGGCCAGGTCCAGATGTGGAGACGCCGATGGGATTGGGAGAGTAGGGTTCAACGGATAAGGTGCATTGGAGATTCACCTAGGGGTCGGCCAACGAAGTCGAGTGGGGACCACAGGCTGTTCGCAAGAATTCAGCCCTATTCCAGGGAATTCTTTTTTTTTTTTTTTTTTTTTTTTTCCTTTTCTTTTTAAAGCTGTGTAGGCTGAGGTATAGGCATATGCCACCCAGCTGGCCTGTGCTATACAATTTCCAGACACACCCACGGCTCAGAGAGGTTGTGTCGTGCCATCAGTGAGAGGTTTGGGCTAGTGCTTCAACGAGGATGGATTTGGGGGTTCGAATCTGGACCCCTGGTTCATAATTTTTGTTTTACTGTTTGTCTTTTCTGTCCCCTCACCGTGGGGTGTGTGTGTGGGCAAATAGCACTGCATCATTTTCTGATCTGATTTTTTTTTTTTTTTTTTAAATTGACTCCAAAGAGTCCAAACGGGTTTCATAACACAAAGTTTTTACCATCTATTGAAGGCCAAATATGGTGGAGGAGGCAGAGGAGGAGGCCGGAGAATGCGGGGGAAGGGGGGCGGGGGTCGTAGTGTTGGCGTGGGAAGCTTCTGCAGAAAACTAAACCGGTTTTGAGTAGATGAGGCTGTTGATGGTTTGATTTATTCCCTAGCTAGCGATGTCGAGTCTTCAGAGAATGTAACCAGTTATGAGTGGAGGAGGCTGTCGATGGTTGGATTCGTTCACTAACTAGCAATGCTGGGTTGTCAGGTACGTTGGGGACCAACTACCGAACTCATTGGGACGGCATTGGCAGGGTTTCCGGTTCGGACTTTTGGTATCGAGCCCCTAGTAGTCGCAGAGTCAGTGAATGTGTTTTGTTCCTTTCGGCATTTACAGACAGATTTTTAATGGGTATTTTTCCCATTGGGCTGAGCTGAGACTTTGTTGCTCCATTAGTAGATAGCGTAAGTGTATCGCAAAGGTTCTGCATCGCGACTCACCTAGTGTCACAATTAGCCATCAGCGTACTCGGTTTTGATATTAAGAGAGCGCTGCTTGAGCCATGGGTACATGGTTAATGGATCTGAACTTGCAAGTTCCTGGATCGGATTGATGTGGACCACTTTGTTGATCAAGTGGGCAATTTACAGCTGTTAATCTGTCCAGCCAGTTGGTTGATCCATATTGGTGGCCTGTTGGATGCTTCTTCTTCCTCTTCCTCCTCCTCCTCCTTCTTCTTCTTCTTCTTCTTCTTCTTCTTCTTCTTCTTCTTCTTCTTCTTCTTCCACCTCCTCCTCCTCCTCCTCCTCCTCCTCCTTCTCCTCCTCCTCCTCCTCCTTCTTCTTCTTCCTCTTCTTCTTCTTCTTCTTCTTCTTCTTCTTCTTCTTCTTCTTCGTCTTCTTCTTCTTCTTGGAGGAAAGGTGCAAAAAAGGTGACAACGACAGATGAAGAAGCAGGAGGAGAAGGGAGAGTAGGAGATGGAAAGGTGGATGCAATAATAATTAAATAAGAATGAAATGAAGGACGATCATGAAACGAGGCAGAAATGAGAGACAAGGAAGGGGAGACTTCATTACAAGAGTCATCAGTGATGGGAGAGGGACAACCGAGTGAGGAAGGTCAAAGGATGATTTCATAAACGAAAATGTGTGTGTGTGTGTGTGTGTGTGTGTGTGTGTGTGTGAGAGAGAGAGAGAGAGAGAGAGAGAGAGAGAGAGAGAGAGGTTTTCACTTCTGTGAATGATATTAGGACAATGATTTCATTGAATAAAGAAATAAATATGATTAGTTATGGTTAGTTACTTGCTTCATGGGTTGACTTGTATGTTTGTTTTCCTTGTTTAAGGTCCTTACCTCAGCTGCTTTCATGTGCCTCGTCTGTTCCACCTATTCTAGCCTCTCATGCTCCTTATTGTGTGATGGCATGGGCTCAAGGAGTGCTCATTGCTACGGTGCCAACTCACCAAACAAGGGAAGTCAGAGAGTTGAGTGAGCAAAACCAAACCCTACGGGCATGAAGAAAATGGAGCGATATGCTGCAGAGCTCATCGCTATCATATTTCCGTGGGTTGAAATGATTATTATATAAAAATGACCAGAAATCTTGAAGACTATCGGTAGTGAATGAGATAGCGTCAACTGAATGAGAATGGAGGAAAGGAACAACAAGTACACCAAATGGAGCTCAAGGTCGTCGTAATGCTGACCTGACAGCGACACTAGTTCTTAAACTCCCAACGTAACTCCGGAAGGTCGGTGTAATGCTAATCTGACGAAGAACCTGTTGTTCGGCTCAGGTGTGTGAACATCTTTTTTTTTTTTTTTTTTAAGGGCCCAGTGCCCAAGGCTGATATTACCAATAAGAAGATTGAGGCCGGGGTGGTCCCCACAGTCTACCCGGAGTGACCGAACCGAACAAACTGAGAACCGGGCTCAGCGTCCCTCATATGATGATGATGATGATGATGATGATGATGATGAACTTCTAATGCTGAAGATAGGTGATGAAGACTGATGCTGCTTCGTCTTCCTCTTTCCTCCTTTCTTCCCCCTCCTTTCTCACCTCTTCCCTTCTTGCTGCCGCCGCTGAGTAGAACCATCTGATAACAGGCAGTACCAATCAGCCTCAACAAGAAAGAACCCCTCTGCTGCCATTGATCCCTCGAGGCAGCTGGTTCCCCCTAAAGGTATACCTCCAGCCAACACCTGCCCAATCTGCCACCGCCGGAAGATGATGTGACCCCATCATCCCTGCCAGCCCCAGACTAGTCAGTCCCCCTCATCTGCCCTTACCCTCTACAAGGCGAGCAGTTCCCTCCTGGTGCTGCCTCTGCGGAGAAGAGCTCTCCCCGCTTGACCTCCTACCTTTTGAAACCATAGTTTACCTAGGAAGAGCAAAACAACACCCTTGATGAAGAAGATGAGGACAATGATTGAGAAGACTAGTGATGACGAGATTATGATGATGATATTGATAACGATAATGCCTCCCCTGTCCACTCCACCTCTTTCCCAACCTAACTCACCTCCTCTCCCCTTACTCCCTCTGCTGATTAGAATCCCTCTGATGACTGGCAGTTCCCATCAGCCCCAGCGAGAGAAGATCCTCCCTCTACCCTGACTCCCGAACATGAGACATTTGGAGTCGGCAGCCCTTGGAGTCGGCAGTCGAAGGGCTATTCTCTCGTCCTCAGGTCAGCATTACACCTGCTTTCAGAAGTAAGCTGTGAACCGAGCTGCTACCATGCTTCGTTGCCCGGCGGTTTCCGTTGTAGCAAATGCCGGAAGCCGACTCTGCCAAGGTACTGGGTATGGTCACAATCACCTAACTGCCAAATAGCTATGGCTGCAGCCATGTCGTCTGGCCTTTCTTAGCCTCCACTGCACCACGCCAGCTCTCAAGAAACATGCGGCTGATCCGACGTCATGTTAATCGACAAGAATGAACCGGGTTTCTACCACCCAGCTGCTTCAACCTTTACAATGTAGTACTGACTCCTGGGCCTGTGGAAGAAATGCCCCAGTTTTCCATGGCCAATGAGACCCAAGGATGACCTACAGCCCAAGGAGAAGGGCCAGAAAAGATCGAAAGCGGCTCGGGTACCAGAGTCTCCCGACGGTCACCGTGGGTCTGTGACCACCAGGTTCTCTCTGAGACCTGCAACCGCTCTGCTGATTGGTCTCCAGGTGTCTTCAGGCGCTTCCATGCTGATCTGCTATGTCTCGCACAGCGGACAATTAACCAAAATTTTGTCTCCTTTTTGTTTAAAAAAGAGAAAACCAGACCTGTACACTGCCTTGCTCAGCCAAAGGCGTAAATCGCAGAATGAGACACTCGGAAATAAATAGCGTCGAAAGTCATAGAGATAGAGTAATTGGCACAAGTGATTCACTCTCTGAATGATGGTGTTCTGAAAAAGAGAAGAAATGAAAGCTATGTGCACCTGTTACGGGGTTATGGTGTACTCTGCTGGCTGTGCTATATTTGAGTACTACCATAGGCATTGTGCTCTGCAGTTTTTTTTTTTGTTTTTTTTTTTTTTTTTNGAAGCAGAACCCTACCCTTGCCCCGTATCCACTTATTATCGCTGCATTTGGGGCAGCTTTCAGTCCAGATGCAGCGATGATAACCGGGCATTCTATTCGGGTGATGACGGTAGGTTTGTCCCTTGTCGAAGACAACTTGGCAGATCCTGACAAAACCTGCCAGCACTGCTGTGCAGGTTCCTTCAGAGGGTCGCTACCGCGCGCTATGCCGTTCTGTGAACATGCACTTACACTATGGCTGGCGTGGGCACAGTACGATTTCCGATCTTATGGCTGCCAGCCTCTGCCATGAGAACGCAACATCTCTGGCTTGATTTCAACCTGGCCCCTCCCTCCCCCTCCCTCCTTTCCCCCCCTCCCATCCACTTGTGAGCTGCCCAACTTGCCGTTGCAGCCTTGAGATGTCTTGCTCGAGTAACTGCTACCGTCTTCACCGGAATAGAACGAAGGTTGTTGTAGCTGTATGCGGGGCAACTTCCCGATGCAGCATATGGTTGTGTGTACAAGTGTGCATATTGCGATTCGGGGCGACTTCCAGTCCAGATGCGGCGTTTGGTTGTGCGTACAAGTTTGCGTATTGTGAATTACACAAGTGTGCCTACTGCGAATGGTTGTGTGTACACTTGCCGCTCAACCACACAAACATGGGCAGCCTTGCACTTTCAACGACTGCACAAGATCGAATGAAAAAGATAAAATAAAATTGTGTTCCCTTGGTGAAATGGAGGGTGAATGATGATTGTCAACATTTTTTTCACTCATGATCACAACGTCTGTCTCAAAAAAAAAAAAAAAAAAGAATCCAGCACCAGACCAGCAACCAAAAAAAAAAGAAAAGCAGGTTGTTTTGGTGATGTTTCTACAGCAAACCACCTCTTTCTCTTGCACATTCGTTTGCTCGTTTGTTACGCCATAGTTTGTTTAGTATCTTGAAGTCTGGAAAAAAAGAAGGCACTTGGTTGATCTCCAGAGCCTGCCTACAACAGACCCTGGCCAGTCAAAAAACTAGAGTCGTGTTCTTTCGGTGTGTGGGTTGGCTGGAGGTACGTGTCTACCTTCCCCTTTCCCAGTTTTTCTCTTTAGGAATGAAAACGGTTCCTCTTTGGTGTCTACCTTCCCCTTTCCCAGTTTTTCTCTTTAGGAATGAAAACGGTTCCTCTTTGGATTGTGTGCCCACATCTCTATGAAAACTTGTCTGGTCTACATACCCCGCGGATGTCTCCAGGTTGCACACTGTCCAGTGTCCACTGTGTGTTTATGAGACAGTCCATGAGAGAGAGAGAGAGAGAGAGAGAGAGAGAGAGAGAGAGAGAGAGAGAGAGAGAGAGAGAGAGGAGGAGGAGGAGGAGGAAGGGAGGGAGGGAGGAGGGCCTTCAGAGCTGACCTGGCATGTGCGGGTGTGTTGGACTGTGATGGAAAACAGAGAATGTGGCAAAGGTATGGAAAAACGGATAGAGACAGAGGTAGATGGACAAAGATAGTGGGACAGAGAGACGGGGGGACAGCCATGGACTGACGGAATGACCAAACGCCTGAACAGGCGGCTGCAGGGGTAAACGGAAAGACGGTTAGTGGGAGAGTGTTTGATTGTTGACGTGGCATTTGTGCCTGTGTTCTGGTTGTGCGGTTTGTGTGACAGCTGCTCCCCTCTCCTATCTGTGATGCGACGAGTTTATCTTCCTTTGATATGAGATTTTCAACGTCTGAGCGGGGGGGTTTGGTGAGGTAACAGGACTTGTCATCTTGCCTTTCGGTCCAGGACCCATTCTTATCTGCAGCAGTCACCCACAGTCTCAACCACCCCCATATCTCCATTTGTGAGGGGTGGGGGAGGAGATGGAAGCAGCTGCGACTCCTGCGAGGATAGACCTAGAAGCTATGAAGACAGGCATGGCTCCTGACTTGAATGCGAAACATCGATTACCGTCGGCCGGTGCATCTTTCAAGCATCCGATATCCGTGGCTGTCAAACACGTGCTACCTGCTGGTAGCAAGCGTATTGTCACTGTTATCTTAGGCCTCCTCCTTGTCTTTGCTTTTCCTATTATGTTGAAAGCACTTTTCCTTGAACCACAACGACCCCTGCTTTCCCCATCCGCGCACGTTAATCCAAAGGTGATTTCCACGACTTCTTTTAGGACGAAGCGTACCTTTCGTCAGGCATTTGCCCGTCGAAGCCTCAAGCAGCACACGGCTGTTCATGAGAAAGAGGCCTCGTCCGAGTGGTCGACAAAGACGACATCCCCTCTGGGGACAAGTGCGCTGCCGAACCTTTTGCAAGCGCATGTGCCAAAATGCCACACGAGGAAGCCGCAATTTGTAACCGTAAAGAGCGATGTGGAGAGACCCCGCGTGTTGATCATTTCCGCGATACAAAACGAGTGCACCACTGCAATGGGCGACGATGTCGTCTTGCGCGGCCTGAAGAATAAGGTTGACTATGCCCGACTGCATGGCATGGACGTCGAACATTGCAGTGTTGATGTGCCAATGGAGCCATCGGAGGACCGGCAATGGCACAAGCTTGCAGCGATACAGGAGAAGATGAGGAGCTTTCCGGCCTACGATTGGTACGTCTGGCTGGATTATGACAGCGTCATCACGGATATGACATTCGATATTCCATGGAAAACTTATTCTTCCCATAGTCTTGTGATCTGGGGTCAATCTACTGCGCTTTATACGGGCGAGAAACTCCGGTCGAACATGATAAGCACCTCCACTATGTACGTACGCAATAACGAAATCTCTCGGCGGTTGCTTGATCGCGTGATGGAGCTTTGTAAAAGTGGGAGTGAAGGGGTGAGCGAGATGTTCATCGACAAACCTCGGAAACCGACTCTGAACGACCAGTCCGCACTTGTGTACGTGCTTTCCACAGAACAGCAGCTGTGGCGGCAGCACGTATATCTGGAAAACAACTACGACATATCCCACTGGTGGGGTGATGTAAGTGACAGACTTGAGGAGTACTACTCAGACTGGAGAGGGGAGGGACAGTTTCCACCATTCATTCTGAATTTTTCAGGTTGTGAATTTTGTATAGACGAACCACAGCGGTCTCCACGTTGTGTGAAGGACTTCCACAGAGGAGTGCGATTCGCAGAGAATCAAATCCTTGGTGCCTTCAACATGACCCATACCGACCTTGACTCTGCCGAGGTTGTCCATCTCACTGCATCCATGAGCTAGTTTTCTGCAGGTTAGGTTATCTGTAACATACTTGTTTCATCCCCATCTCTCCCC